AAATCCTTATTTCATTCTTAAAAGACATTTTTCTCCTCTCATGAGGACATCGTCTAATTTTCCTCACTCAAGGTCATTTTCTCTACTCATGAGGACGAATTCAAAAGGTCATTTTTATCAAAATAAAAATCAAATCAAATACATGAAATAAACTTCATCTTGGCATTCATAAAAACATTCATGATAGTCATTCATAAATGTATCATTTTTATATTGATCTTTCAGGAAATAAAAGTTTGGTAATGACTAGACGTCCTCAACACGAAGGAACAATGTCATCCACATATTTGACATCCTAAAGTGAACGATCAAATCTTTCAAAGGAAACTAGATCTCCTCAATATGCAAGAGCAGACTGTCCGTCACCTTAGAGATTGTTTCTCCCGAAACAAAGTTTTATCACGTTTGAGACGATTTTTCTTGAAACAAAATTGATCTCACTTGATATTGTTTCCTCTTAAAACAAATTTCATCTCGCTTGAGACAATTTCCTCCAAAATTTGAAATTGTTTCACTTGAAAAAAAAAATTGATAACATTTGAGATTGTTTTTCTTAAAAAAAAATTTCGTCTCGCTTGAGACAGTTTTCCCTTGAATCAAAAATGTTGAAATGTTTTACTCGAAACAAAATTTTATCTTACCTGAGACAGCTTATCTTGAAACAAATTTCCTTCCACTCGTTTACTTTCATTCAAATATTTGACAGGAACTCAACGTTAGCAAATACTTCGTTTCACAATTCCATGTTGAAGAATAAGATTCCATTTCAAGTCAATCATTGGAAACTATGAGTAGCTCTCCTCAACATGAAGGAGTAATGTCGTTTCCAAAGAAAAATTATCTCCTAAAAAGGCTAGACTTCCTCAACACAAAGGAACAATGTCGTCCACCAACCAGATCTCCTCAATTCGAAAGAGCAGTGTCATCCTCAGACAATCAGATTTCCTCAACGCTTAGGAACTATATTGTCTCCAAATTATCCCTAAAGACGGCTGGGCGTCGTCATCACGTAGGAACAATTTCTTCCACCGACCAGATCTCTTTAACACGTAGGAGCAACGTCATCCTCAGGGAATCAGACTTCATCATCACGTAGGAACCGTGTTATCTCCAAATTATCCCTAACGATAGCTAGGTGTCCTCATCATGTAAGAACAATGTCGTCCACCGATCAGATTCCTCAACATGTAGGAGCAGCGTCATCCTCAGGAAATCAGACTTCCTCATCACGTAGGAACTATGTTGTCTCCAAACATCATCTTCAGCAAACAATTTATCTAAAAGGGGCCAGATCTCTTTAACATGGATGAGCAGTGTCGTCTTCAATACCAAATTATTTCCAGAATGACCTGATTTCCTCAAACGAGAAGGAACATCGTCATCTTCAATAAACAATTTATCTGAAAGCGGCCAGATCTCTTCAACATGGATGAACAGTGTCATCTTCAACAACAAATTATTTCCAGATTGACCCGATTTCCTCAACGAGAAGGAATAACGTCATCTTCAACAAATAATTTATCTGAAAGCGACCAGATCTCTCAACATGGATGAACAGTGTCGTCTTCAATACCAAATTATTTTCAGATTGACCTGATTTCCTCAACGAGAAGGAACAACGTCATCTTCAACAAATAATTAATCTGAAAGCAGCCAAATCTCTTCAACATGGATGAGCAGTGTCGTCTTTAACACCAAATTATATCCTGATTTCCTCAACGAGAAGGAACAACGTCATCTTCAACAAATAATTAATCTGAAAGCAGCCAAATCTCTTCAACATGGATGAGCAGTGTCGTCTTTAACACCAAATTATATCCAGATTGACCCGAAGTCTTCAACATGGAGAAATAGTGTCATCTTCAAACCCTCTATTTTCAGACAAAGAATTGGAGCTCCAGATGTGGAGCGAATATCATAGCTAGACAAAATTATGTTATTATTTGTGTTTGTTTCGTCATTGTTCACATAATAGACGAGCAAAGAGGGGCAGCTGTAACACTCTAATTTTTTTCTAAAGTTAAAATGGGAACAAAATGAAATAAAAAAACTTGTAATTGTACTTTTTTTTAAATTTTGGGGGCTTTAAAGGCCAAAAAGCAAGCAGATTTTGCCCTATATTTCTTGTAAACTAGAAGAAAAAAAGTAAAGAAAAAATTTCTCTTTTCTTCAGTTTCTTTTTATTTTTCATACTGTTTTTTTTTTTTTTTTAGCATTAACATAGTAAGAGGGAAGAGTGGTTAGTAGTCGGTCATCAGAGGCCAGCCCTCGTCGGCGTTATAAATAGGTTTGTTTTGAGTTTCGTTTTAGACAGTGGGTAGGATGTTGTGGTATGTTTTTTCTTTGTTTTTTGTTTGTTTGTTTGTCGTTGGCCACCATTGTGTGGCCGTGGGGTTTACGTGCAACGGTTGGCTTAGGGAAGAAAGAGGACTGGGATTTCACGTGTTTTCTGGGGGGGAAGTTGTCTATTTTTAATTTTTAGGTTAATACGCATAAGCCCCTGGACTTTAGCTCTATATCACGTTCTGGTCATTAGTTTTAGGGGCTAATCGCCCATAAGTCCTCTTAGTTTTAGTGTGTTTCACGCTTTGGTCACTATCAGGGGAAAATCACCTGTAAGTCCCATGTATTTTAGCCCTTGTTGCACTTTGGTCACTCATTTCTTATTTATTTTGAAAGTGCATGCAGATTTTACTAACTTTTAATTTGGTCACTATTATGCTATGTTATTTATTTCAAGTTGACTACTAACTTTTATTTTATTGCACTTTAACCATTGTTATTTATTTATTGTTTCTAATATTTGATTTGATCTTGTGGTGACCTGATCTAGGGTATAATCCACATTATTATGTTTCGGACTCAGCCACTAACCTTTTTTATTTTATTTTATTTTTATATATTTGTTTGAATTATTCGATTCAACCTCGTGGTGACCCGATCTGGGGTATGATCTACATTATTATGGTTCAGACCCTGCTAACCACTAACCGCTAACTTTTCTAACTTACTAACATTCTAACTTTTATTTTATTGTTCATACTAACATTCTAACTTTTTATTTTTATTGTTCTTTCTAACTTATTAACATTCTAACTTTATTTATTGTTCATACTAACATACTGACCTTTTTATTTTTATTGTTCTTACTAACTTACTAACATTTTATTTTATTGCACAAACTAACCCGCTAATTTTCTAACAATCGAATATTCAACGACCTTACGATAACCCCCTGGGGGACGATCCACATTATTTATGATCCGGGTTAAACGGTTAAAAATAACCTCCTAACTTTTAAATTTATGCAATTTATTTATTTCTTTTTTATTTATTTTTATTTTATTTATTTATCCCACTCTTTAAATTCTAGTATTTTTTTCTGCTCTTTAATTTTCCTGCATTTTATTTCAGCCCCTCTTAATTTTCAACATTTAATTTTTGTATTTTCATTTTAAGCATCTTAACTTACACTTCATTTTATTTTATTTTGGTCACTAATATTGCATGTGGTATATGTATTCCTAATGCTTATACTTTTCATTATTTACGTTTCGTATTTTAATCTTGGTTGTTGGTGTATAGAGTTTGCATGTTGGTCTTTTGTTTACGCTAGTAGGCTACCGATGTTTGACTCGTATTTTAGATTCAAAATCGAACTTGATCATCTTTATTATTGTTACCATTTTATGCACATATCTTCATATCTATATTATTATTCAAACTTTATTTTTTATATAATTCTTTATTTTTTAAAATATAGAAAATATAAATTTTGTGTTTAGGGATATCTATGAAGACATCTCCCAACTATAAGGGAAATATAAATTTTTCGCACAAAAGGTTATTTTTTGTATTCGATAGTCTTCTTTTTTGTTTTATTTTTATCTTATCTCGTTCTATTTTTATTTTATTTTATTTTTATTTTCATCTTTGATATAAATAAAATATAAGGCAATTTTTTTTGTGAGGGAAATCTATGGAAAAGTCTCCTAACTACAAAGGAAGTGCATTGCCGAGGATTGTTCGCACAAAAAATGCATTGCCGAGGATTGTTCGCACAAAAAAACATTCTTTTATCCGAGAATTTCTAAAAATTTAATATAATAATATACTTTTTTAAATTATATCATCCATAAAATTAAAGAAACACCATTTTGTGAGGGGAATTCATGAAAAATCTCCTAACTATAAAGGAAATATATTTTCAAGGATTGATCGTACAAAATGATGTGATTTCTCCTATAAAAATAATTATAATTTTTGGGGTTAAATAAACAGATTTATTCTATAAAATATATTTTGGGCTCTTTGATTTTTTTTGTACCCACTGCATTTATCATTTGTCATCAAATTTTTATTTCCTTATTTGCAAAAGCAACGTTGTTTTAGTTTTTTGAAAATTGATATCTTTTAAATAAATTCAAATGAATAGAATGATCGTAATTTAAATATATTTTCGAGTTTGTTATTTCCCAACATTTAAACATCATATAATTGTTTAGGTACTAAACTTGGGCGTTGTGGGGGGTACTCACCATTCCTCACACGTAATCGACTCCCGAACTCTTAAAAATGAATTTTTGGTAGAACGCATACCATTTTTTTCGTCTTTTAATGATTTTTCTGAACTCGATATTTTAGGTATTCAACCTACCTAACTTAAAGGTTGATGACGACTCCAAAATCAAATTATTTCAAACCTAAATTTCATCGTCTTTCCCCGAATTAAATTTTTAAGTCTAACCAATCCTGAGGGATGTTGAATAATCGGATAAAGAAAATAGAAAGAACACAAGAATTTTAATGAGGTTCAGCAATGTGCTTACGTCCTTGGTGCCTTAGGCGGCGCTAGAATTTTATTCAATTCAATATCTCATAGGTTTAGGTTACATCTCCTTTTATAATAAATAAAATCTGGTACATATTTATAAAAATAACCTTATATCGTACTTACCGGTATATTTATGAGTCATACCTAACAAGAGATGTTATGACAGCCTATGTCGATGACCCTTGCAGTGCTACCTATCCATTGATGCAAAAGCTGAGGCAAGTTCTTGTTGAGCTTGCATTGACAAACGTTAACAATGAGAAGAATACAAGTACTTCAATCTTCCAAAAGATTGCACCTTTCGAGGACGAATTAAAGGCTGTTTTGCCAAAGGAGGTTGAGAGTGCAAGGGTGTCAATTGAGAATGGAAATGCAGCAATTCCTAACAGGATCAAGGATTGCAGATCGTATCCGTTATACAAATTCGTGAGGGAGGAGCTCGAAACTGGGCTGCTAACTGGAGAAAAGGTCAAGTGAGCTGGGGAGGAGTTTGGAAAGGTGTTCACTTCCATGTGCCAATGAAAGATCATTGATCCAATGCTGGAAAAGGAATGGAACGGTGCCCCTCTTCCAACCTGCTAGTTTGCTTTCGTTTCACTCTTCCTTCACCTATTATTCCATGATTTTTCTTGTAAAATAAATAAATAATAAAAATGTGTACGAAATGTAGGATTAATTCTTACTTGATATCTTCGTAGTACAAGTACCCATGAAATAAAATCTATCAGGTGGTCTCAATGGTTAAAGGGTACGTTATTAAAGGTCTTGGGTTTAAACAACTACATCACCCTAAATTAATAAAAAAAATAATCATGAAATATATTATCGTCTCCTCTAAATTCTCACCGAAACTCTTGGTAATATTTAGTAAGAAACTGAAAATAGGGTACCCTTGCTTGAACCTTGGAATGTGCATAAAAAAGTTTTTCTTTCATTTCATTACACTTTCCAAATGTCTTCGTGAGTTTCCCTTCTGGTTTCACTAAGGGACACCTTACATTTCTGTTTAAAATAAAAATGATGTCTCCCAAGATCATGATGGATAACTGTTGGCAATTCTGAGCTTACCCAAATAATTATAAATCTAGTAATGAGGTCCCTAAAATCACACAACTATACAAATTTAACCTGACAATTCCTTCGTCAATGGTGACGAAATCAATTTCTTTGTTAATTCTCTCTCTTCTTCTCTTAAATCCCGATGTTTTGGTTTTTCTCCTATTTCGGTTAACGTCCTTATGGCCGATGTGATGTTCGCCCCTATTTAAGTTCTATTTTTATTCAGATTCTTTCTGTTTTGTTAGTTTGTTTTCTATTTGTTTCGTTTTGTTTTCTTTTCAATATTTCGCTCCGCTTGGTTGATGGCAATTGGAAGGAGGTGATAGCCATGGCTTTTGGTGTGTTTTTTACAAGTTTTGTCCTCCAGTTTGACACTATAGGTGTTCAACACATTCTTCATGAGGTTGTGCACAGAAAGGTGAAACCAACCTTCAAAATGAACAAAGGCAGATAGAGGCACTCCTGATCCTCGTCCATGATCTCACTATAGTCGCTAAAGCAGTGACTCCCCAAAGGCATTTCAAATTCAAATCCGTAAGTTGCCCATCGCAAACCATGACCCATGAATAGACTCTTGACCTCATTTCGTCCCTATTTAGGACCGTTAGATGAATAAAAATAGATGACTAAGACTAAACGTAGGAAATGAAATATATTTACGAGAAAAAAAGACAAGTAAATCCCAATCATTAGTAAGTGGATCCTAACATATATATATATATATATATATATATATATATATATATATATATATATATATATATATATATATATATACATCTTTTGCTTTTCATGGGAAAGAGGATCAAGTACATTGGCAAAACATAAAAGCTAATTAGACTAGAAAAATTAACATTCGTGGGCTAATAAAAGATGTCGATAGGTCATCAGCAATAGTGTCATGTCAGTTATATGGATATATTGATGATAGTGCATGTGGTTACAAATACAACGGCTCACCCTCGTCTATTTTTGAGTTCCATGGTTCATCCTCCGATCATAAACAAAGTGAAGTGCTTCAGTTTTTGTACAAGTCGACGAGGCTCGTTCAATAGAGTCAGGAGGAAATCCTCTAATAAAAACAGACTTCTCTTGTCCCACACCACCTTCCACCTTTTAGGTCAGGCAAACTTGTTATTAATCACAGTATTCAAAGGTTTCCAACGACAAAATCAGTTAACTCACAATTAGTGTCATCCCGGTATATAACTCGATGGAGATTTTCAACCCTCACTGCCAATTTTGAAAGCAGGGGATGCGGTGTCCCGAGCTTCGACTGTTGATGTTGATTCTTTCTTGTCCAACCCGAAAAACGAGCAATTTTGGAATGCATCCAGACTGCTGACTATCAAACTCCAACAACATATCTGGGATGGTAGATGAAACTAGACATATAGTAAGTTATTCAAGTCAATCATTAACACACAAAAAGTAGTCACTTAAAATCACACAAAGATCATACAAGAAAAAAATCAAAAAAAAATCTCATCAAATAAACTCGAACAAAATGTAGATACGAACAGATCTAACCGCATCGACAAACGAACCACAAAAGAGAATCAAGCTATCGAAAAACATTCGATAAAACGCATCAGAGTTAAGAGACGTAAAAAAATTATCCACGAACGTAAATCGTGTATCCAAATCTAATCAGATGGCTCAAATCATGAAAGATCAACATGATAACAAACAAGTGTCATCTTGATCAATCGTAACGATGTCAAATCCAATAATTGAAGATAACAATCAAATGATAAAAAATGTCGTAAAGACAGATAAAAACATATTAAAAAGACAGATGAAAATATGTCATAAAAGTATAGTTATTAAAAAAACTAAAAAAAAAACAAAGATACACTATAACAAAATAAAGAGAAAACAATGAACATCAACGATCAACATTAAGATTTGTGTCGGTATCGATCACAAAGACGAAGAAAATGAGAGTCTAACAATGACTAAGAAGAAAAAAAAAAGATAAAACTAGGACAAATTCTTAAAATTAAATAATATTATTTATAAAAATTAACATATTGATTCTTTGTTATAAAATTATAATATATTTATCTGTGTTTTGTGTACACTAACTTTTCTTTTGGTATCATATAATTAGTCCTATTGTGTCCAAATTTACAAGATTTATTTAAGATGCCGCAAATCCATAGTCATCACAAATGCCATGCATGTATGTATGTGTAACATGTGTGGATAGGGACATTATGAATCCATCATAAACAACTGCAACATTCTAGTTCTATAAATAGTGGGGGATCATGCAACTTTTGATGCTTATTTAGGGTCATGGTAGGAGCTGAGTCAGAAATTCATGACTCGCCTTCCTCCTGTCTTGATTTGTCTTTAATGATGTATTTTTAGTGGTGCTAACCGATTAATTCATCCATCTTTGAATTTCTTTATTATTTTTTTCTCTATTAAAATTCATTATCTTCTTCTTATTATTGCCAAATTAGGTTATCCTAAAACCATTATCAATATCTTATAATAATACACATAGTTCCTTTATGCATTTTGTTTATGTTTGTGACTTATTTTTAGGTAGAAATCAGACGGTTACCTATTGCACAAGGGTTGCAAAATCTCTATACTGGTACATCAATCTTAATGATTAAAAGAAATGTTGTTTCTTTATAAATTTCGGATTCGAGTAACATTTAATATAGGGTGTGTATTGTTAATGGCTAAAAAAATTATTAAGAGATATTATCTTGTAATCACTTCTAGACTAATAAAAAAATACTACTTAATCAAAAAAGATAAAGTTGTTATTTTTAAAAGATTTGAATTCGATTAAATGTGTCTAAAGAGTATAAATATTGTTAACAGTTAAAAAAGAATTTAAAACAAAATGTGGTTAACATAAAATTAATTACATGCACTTGTTTTGGCAGCTTGGTCAATGCATGCATTACCTAATTCTTATCTTTTCTTAGGCTTACTATAATTAAATTATTTTTTTTTTAAATGTTGTTGGTTAATTAGAATAAAAGTTTATAAATAAAAATAAATATCTTAATTAATTACTCATAAACTTGAATTCTAGATATCATTATTTTTATTCATATAATGTTATGAAAGGTAATCCTAATTTTGGATTCGAGTAGCTGTGTCTGTAGGGTGTGTGCATTGTCAATTGATTAAGAAAATCTTGAATAGATACAAGGACAAACACAAAATTTAGATTAGAGGTGGCGAAATTCTGAAATTTTAGGAGGAAGTGGGTTTATAAAACTCTAGAGAGGACAAAATCATATTATCATTTTAAAATAAAAAGAAAATATCTAATATATATGCTAATTTGAAATTTTCAGAGGGCGGTTGCCCCCACCTACCCTTTTTGTAATGTAAGAATCTAAAATTTAGTGGTTTAATTAGAATAAATTGAAAAGTTCAATGATTGATTTTGGAATTTGTGTTTAGGACTTATTAGCAAAGATGGAAGAATGGAAGGGAAAAGAGTTCTTTTTGCAAGAAATGAATTTAAAACTCATTTTAAAATATATTTTAAGCATATGAAGATTAGAAAAGGGGAAGTATCTGGAAGCTTAGCTCACTTATCTTCTTCTTTTTCTCTTCACGTGAAGCTCCATGATTAAGGTAAGTTACTTTCAAGTTGGTTATTTTCTTAATTATTGGGTTGGTTTTAAATCCTTGAGTGGTATGGAAGCTTAAGGAAAGCTTTGAGGTGAATAGAAACTAAGAGTTGGTGATTTAAGGATTAATTAGTAAAATGGGTTTTCAAGTGAAAGGATAAATTTTGGTTAGTAATTGAGTTCTAAAAGCATATTTGACTTGTAAAAGATATAATTAAGGGATTTGAAGTGTTAGAAAGGATTGAGAACATGTTTGAAAAATTGATGTTTTAAGTGTTCTTTAGAGGAAGTTGGATGTTATAAGGGAATTAATGAATATAAGTTAGTTGGGATAAATGGTATTGAGTTTTGTGGCATGATTGGAGATAAGATTAAGAGATTTAGGTAAAATTTGGGAAAATTCGAGGTGAAATAAGTAAAATGTGGGTAAGGGTATCTGTACTGGAAGAACAGTACCAATACTATGAGGTTAAATCAAAGGATAAAATATGAATCGGATGAACAATATCAATATCAATTAAAGAAGTATCGATAATGATGTGGAGGTATCGATACAAAGAGGAATGCATCAATACCATAATCGAAAATGGAATTCCAGAATACCAAAATGGTATTGATACCGAAGTGGGTATCGATACTATAGAAAAGAAGTATTGGTATTGTGGGTTGAGTACTGATATTATTCAGTCAAAAATGTTAATTAAGTGTTTCATTTCACTCAAATAAAAGTTAATGGTTAAATATTAATTGAGTTCCACTATTCATTTGGGTCATGTTATGTGTAGATTTGATTGAAAGCAAATGCAGAACGAATGGATGTATCAAGATAA